TATCCTCTGCCCCACCTTTCTTGGGAATTAAAGCAATAAAAGTAGCATTAAGACTCTTCTCAAACTATCCCTCCTGATAAAACTGATCAAATACGGCCATCACTTCCGCCTTCACCACCCCCCAACAATGCTAGAAGAAGGCCATGGAAAAGCCATCCGGCCTAAGGGCTTTATCCCCGGACATACTTCTCAACGCACCCCAAACCTCCTCCTCCGCAAACGGGCGCTCCAACATCAACACCGCCTCATCTGAAATAGTATCAAAAGTAACTCCCTCCAAATCCAGTCGCCACCCTTCCCTTTCAGCCCTAAAAAGATGCTGGTAGAAACCCACGATACCATTCCGGATATCCACTTCTGAGGAAAGCAACACCCCATTGACCCACAACCGCCCTATCTGATTCACCCGCCGCTGAGCATTTGCCATTCGATGGAAAAATTTAGTCCCCATCCTTCAACCACAAGCACCAGGACCTCTAGCGATAACTAGTCTCCTCCATCCTAGCAATCCGCCCATAATCCTTTTGCGCCCCCTCCCAACACACCACATCATCTACCGACAAGCCCTCTCTTTCTTCCATCTCATCCAACCCCTGCAAAATCGACAAAGTACTCGTCTTCTGTACCTCCAACTGACCAAACACCTCCTGATTCCACCGCTTCAATTCAGATTTAAGCAACTTTAACTTTTGCGCCATCCAGGTACTAGGCAACCCAGCCACACTATAACTCCCCCACCACTCCTTTACCGTCTCGCCAAAACCTTCGAGCTGTAACCACATATTCTCAAAACGAAAAGGCGTTGGGCCACGCCGCACTCGCCCACTATCCAAAAGGACAGGCCAATGATTCGAGACCGGACGCTGTAATCGAGCCTAGAACATCTGGGAGAAATGCTCTTCCCAATCCCCCGTGACCAGGAATCTATCAATACGAGACATTGCCCTACCGCCGGACCAGGTATAACCCCCTCTCTGCAACGGCATATCGATCAACTCCATCGTATCAATAAAAGAGGAGAACGCCTTCATCGGCCCCATCACCTGCCTACCCCCTGTCTTCTCTTCTGGACTCTACACAACGTTGAAATCTCCTACTACACACCAAGGCCTCTCCCAACAAAAAGCAACAGCCTGTGACTCTTTCCAAAGTCTCCCGCTCCAATCTCCTGACCAGCCCAAACACCTCCGTAAAAACCCAACGAAAATCATCATCCACACATCTGAACAGACAAGATAAGGAAAAACTTCCCACCTCTACCCCCTCCTGCACCACCACCCGATTATCCCAACACATAAGAACACCACCTGCTGCCCCTATAGCTGGTTGGAAGGCCCAATCCACATGCCTACCACCCTAGATATCCCTTAAAACATCCACCACCACACACTCCATTTGGGTTTCCTGAAGGCACACCACATCCACTCTAGCACTCTTCAGTACTGATTTAACCACTACCATTTTTCCTTTATCATTTAAACCCCGCACATTCCAAATCAATATTTTCAAACGCATGGCAACAAACAAAGGATCTCCACACTCCTTCCTCATCTGCCGACCAGCCCCAGCCCTATTACAATCATAATTAATGGAGCACTCTAATCTGCGTAATTCCCGACCTCCTCTATCCTTCTGGCCCGTGCTCTGTAACTCTTGCACCCCTGACACACCCCCTCGCCATGACATCTCAATGGCCGAAAACAGTTTCAAAGCCTCTTCCTCATGCCCTTCAAAAGAAACACCCAAAAATTTACTAACCTCAACAATTCGAGCCAACACCCACTCAGAAACCTCATTCGACGTTGGTGGCTACTTTGTCTGGAAATGCACCTCCGAATCCTGCTCTGTATCGGACTAAGAGATGGGCGCCACCATTTCCCCAGCTTCCATTGCCAATGGCTGAAGGACTATAGCTAGGCCATCACCAATCTCGACCCCACCAACCACCGATTCTGCCCCCACTCTTCATGGTCCTCCTGACATCTCTATTCTGCCCTACCGAGCTCCTCCCCAAGCAGCGGAAGTAATCCGCCAGCCACTGTGTGCTACCCATGGTGTAACGGCAACATAGGAGACCCCACCGGCCTGAGAGGCGTTAACGTGTCGTCCGTCCCCGACATTAGCGCCTCACCACCGTTATTCCGGTGACCTGACCCAATAGCAGCGTATAATGACCCGAAGACCTGGTCCATCGTCGGGTTCACCTGTGGGCCCACCTTCCTTGCTGGACCAGGTAATCCTTGAGGTAGGGCCTGAGAAGAGTTCAAAAACCCACTGGGCCGCACAACTGGATCTCTAGTCAAAGAAGACTGGGCCACATGCATAGGCACCCAAGTGGTAGAGCCTAAAACCCCCTGGCCCACCTTCTTAACTTGAGAGGCCACAGGGCCCAAATTTCCCTGGCCTAATTTATTGATTAAAGGCCTTGCATATGGTCCGCCACATACCCATCTCTCAGACCCTCCTTCCCAAAGCTACGACTTTCCCTAAATCGTCCATACCCCCAATTCCGCCGATCGTCACGCCTCCATACTCGGGTTTCCATATTCATTACAGTCGCCAGCTGAGAAGCTTCAACTGACAGCCCCGACTCCGGCCAAACTAGTAACAAGTACAACCACGACTTCCAACGAAGCAAAACCCTAGCAGGAAGGCTTCTCCCTTTTCGAACCAGCAACCGAACCATTCCCGAGTTAGTCGACTGTTCGTCGACCTCCACAAAACCCCCACACCAATCGCCGACAGCCCGATAAGTTTCTTCCCCACGGAGGTGCAAAGATATACCCATCACTTTAACCCATTTATACATCCCCGCTCCCGACGTCTTCCCCTTGTCGCAAAACACAGTCGGTGACCACCATCGCAGAGCTAAATTGGATCCATCAATCACCCATCTGCGGCACAACACACCTTCGGCCTCACTCCAAGTTGGGAAAACAAACAAGAAAGCCTGACTCCCTATCAGACGAATCTCCACTCGCCCAACCCCCTTCCACCAACGGCCAACCCAATCCACCATAGCTGAGAACCCAACTCCTCTGCTCCCCACCTCTCCCACATAACCCACCAGCGCCCTCTCCAACAAATGAGACCACCCCTCCTCTGACACACCCTGCACCACCACCTCATCGACCTCCAGCAAGTCAACTACCCCTGCAGCTGCTGTGGCCACTCTCCACCCTTTCAGCGCCTTCTTACCCGCATCAATCCAGATCACCCAACCATCCCCTTTAGCAAATCCTTCCAAAACCAGTGCCACACCCTCCCAGCCTTCCCCAAAATCCGAAATGGAAAGAAAAATCTGAGTTCTTTTACCCTCCGAGGTAACCACAATCTGAAACAAAGAACTGCCATCGCCCTTTGTACGAATCCAAACAGCCACACTGTGTCGTTTCCCCTCAAGCCGACCCGCAAACGACTAACGGCCTTGGTTCCGCAATGCCCATCGCATCTTCTCACCTATCCATCATACTTCAAACCCCACCAACCTGACTTCCCTAGCAAGCCTTGTCCTCGCTCCACAATGGACAAACATCGATGACCCCCAGACATCTCCAACGTCTCCTCAATCTCAAAGGACCGTCCGCCAAGAAAGAGGATTCGCCAGCGTGGGCCACTCTCCTCCCTCATCGGAAGCATTCCAAGTAATTACCACATCCCACTGGAAATCGCTTCTAAATATGAAAATAATTAGAGAGAATTTTTCCTAAAACAATCATATATACCTACATTTCTCGCCTATATTGAAGAAGTAAAATGTGTGCATCACTCATCAATACAAATAAAAAATATATATTATAGTTTGTTTTAGTATCAACAGTAAGCTCCAATATCGATATGTGAATATATCACATACTCAAAAGGGTAGCATCTACAAAAAAAAACAAAAAATAATAATTATTTACGATATAATTAATTTCAAACTTACAAAAAAAAATGTAAAATATTTTATATTTATTTCAAAAAAAAAATAAATAAATAAGATTATAACATATACGTGAATCAAGTGCCACACCATGTATCTTCCAACAGTTTCTCCAACTTTTCTAAGACCACGGGATGGTGTTTCCAAACGAGCATTTGGCTTTTTCGCTTTTAAGACAGACTGTGCAATATTCAGGGCCAATTGGAACTCCATCAATTTCATACAACAGATCGTCACTAATAAGAAGTCCCAAGCCAATTGGACTATTGGTATACGTGAACTATCTAAAAAGACTTTAATTACATCCCACAATAATGATAATACTATTAAAATCAAGTACTAATTGAACACATTCTGCCACAATCTAACAATAATCGAATAAACACAAAATAAGAAATGTAAAGCCCCAAAGTAATAACCCATCTTATGATAATCAATAGAAAACATAAACATGCGAAATATTAACATTTTATTTATATTTCTTTATCGTACAAAAGATGACATATGCGAGTATACATTCATAGATCTTAGATCTTGAATCTGTAGCATATGTCACATTTGAGTGAATTGAAATAAAAGTGTAATACAAATAAGTTATGCCCTAATGGCTACATCTTCCCAAGACATTACTTGGTTACAACAAAATGGATAAAGTCAAACAATTAAAAGCCTTAGACTTGTACAAAATATAATTACAACAAAAGAAACAAAAATGAGCCTTCAACTCCACGGTCCTCCCAATCTAAATCGTTGGTGACAGACTTTGCAATATTCAGGGCCAATTGGAACTCCATCAATTTCACACAACAGATCGTCACTAATAAGAAGTCCAAAGTCAATTGGACTATTGATATACGTGAACTATATAGAAAGACTTTATTACATCCCACAATAATGAGTACTAATTGAACACATTCTGCCACAATCTAACAATAATCGAATAAACACAAAATAAGAAATGCAAAGCCCCAAAATAATAACCCATCTTACGATAATCAGTAGAAAACACAAACAAGCTAAATATTAACATTTTATTTATATTCCTTTACCGTATAAAAGATGACATATCCGAGTATACATTCATAAATCTTAGATCTTGAATCTATAGCATATGTCACATATGAGTAAACTGAAATAAAAGTGTAATACAAATAAGTTAAATCCGAATGGCTACATCTTCCCAAGACATTACTTGGTTACAACAAAATGGATAAAGTCAAACAATTAAAAGCCTTAGACTTGTACAAAATATAATTACAACAAAAGAAACAAAAATGAGCCTTCAACTCCACGGTCCTCCCAATCTAAATCGTTGGTGGAGGCATATCACCAGCAGCTGAAAGTTGTTTTCCACGTAGGGTGGGCTAAAACCCAGTTGAGATATTTTAACACTATGTATGAAACTTAACGAAATCACAAGGTGAATATGCACATGCACGCCATTTGACAAAACATTACACTTTTCCATCTCAAAATAATGCAATGTCATTATCAATATATTTCAATTCATGAAAATACACTTTTATATCAGAAAATAGGGCAGCGAATAAAAAACACTGTGAATCTCTAAATACGTGTTTGCCAGTAGGCTATACAAACACTGCCAAAGTCATTTTACCAATACTAACCAGAAAGATCGATACCTAATCGCACGGGTTTCTAAACTTTTACTAAGGACACGCAGGCCAACAATATAAACCACCACCACACGTCCTAACCAGATTCACTATGGTATACACCCTTTTTTTTCCAAAAAACAATACATTTTCAATGTTCAAGTATGAAACAATGCTCGATGCAAGAAGTATAAGCAATCAGTTTCAATTTAACCTAATCCTCATGCAATTTCTATAACTATCAAAGCTATCTTCTACAGATAGCCCAAAACAGATATATCTACTCAACAGATAAATTTTTCAACAATAGCTAAAATCTCATAATTTCAAAACGGGAGCGATAATACATATCTGACTCTACTCTCATTATCAACAAATACATTCTCCTTACCTTTTTGAATCCCAACAACTTTTTCTTTACTTTCATAAACCAAACCTCCATGATTTCCGAACAAAATCTCCTTTGTTCTTTATAATCTCAATTAAGCAAGAAGTTTCCAAAATTTCAACATAACCCAACAATATATACACTCCCACAACCTTTCTCGAGAATTTATTCAAAAAAACCCCTATTTTATATTTCAAAATCAAACCCAAAATTTAACCCAAAATTTCCAAATCACTAAATCCTTTTTAAAGAGCAAATAACTAAGCTAAGAATCATATTAAAGGTTGAAGATATCGCTACATCAAGTTTAGAAGAGGAAAAAACAAGAGTTGAAGTTTGATGGAGCCAAAATAAGATCCTCTCCGATTGAAACGAAGCTCTCGACGACCTTTACTTTTTTCTCCAAGGAGCAATGGTGGAGAAATCAACGAATGATGGAGTATTTGTAATTTTAAGGTAAGAACGAGAACGAGAGAGAGAGAGAGAGAGAGAGAGAGAGAGAGAAGGAATTAGGGTTTGGAATGTTTTAGAGAGAGGAATGAAAAAAGTAATTTAAAAACCCTTTTTCCCGAACTGATATACGCACAGGCCACTCGAGCGACCAAACCACCACTTGAGCATCAGACACAATAAGTGAGATGGCTTAAGCGATCAAAACAACGCTCGAGCGCACGATGACCCCTTGCCGAAAATTTTGCAGACTAGACTGCTCAAGTACAAGAAAGACCGCTCGAGCGAAGATCACCTTACTCTAAGAAGTTTTGCAGACTTGCAAAAATAATGGGAGACCTCAAATACTGCTCGAGTGACCAAAACATAACTCGAGTGAACAAGAAGAAAACTGGACATCCAGACTTTTGAAAACTAACTCCTAACCTGTTTCAAACACAACCAACAGCTCAACTCAATTACCATCAAGATGATAAAGGACATAAACAACAATTAAAGGTACAGAATCCTAGATCTAAGAGTATGAAATGGGTCGAGTCTAAACCGGAACCATTATAATAAATCTAGCTAAATAATTGTGCTTAAACATAGGCATAGCAACCCCTAGTAGTTCATGCTAGTAGACATGAAACAAATGTGAGATTAACGACAAAAAGACAATATAGGTGACACAAAACAAAGAGCACATAATCAATGTCAAGAGGTCAAGTCCTATCTTTTCCAACAAGTCATTTGTGCCTAGTTAGTGTGCATCAAGTTTCATCGACATCCGACACTATTTAATCATTTTAGTGTGTCAACTGGTTTGGAAAAAGAGTTTCTTAAGGACAAATTTTCACAAACAGGAATTAAGCTCCAGATTTAAAATCGGGACCAGATTTAAAATCGGGAATCAATTTCGAGTCTCGTCTTTTCTTGTAAATCATTTGTGCCTAGTTAGTCGTGTGTGTCTAGTTTCACTGGCATCTGACATTGTTTGACCATGTTAGTGTGTCAACAGATTCAGAAAAAGAGTTTATTAAGGACAAGTTTTCACAAACAGAAAGTAGGCTCCAAATTTAAAACCGAGAATCGGTTTCAAGTCCCGTCTTTTCCTACAAGTCATTTGTGCCTAGTTAGTCGTGTGTGTCAAGTTTCGTTGACATCCAACACCGTTCGACCATTTTTGTGTGTCAACCAGTTCGGAAAAAGAGTTTCTTAAGGATAATTTTTCACAAACGAAAATTAGGCTCTAGATTCAAAATCGGGAATCAATTTTGAGTCCCTTCTTTTCTTACAAGTCATTTGTGCCATACTTAGTCAAGTGTGTGAAGTTTCGTTGACATCCGACATCGTTTTGAGCATTTTAGTGTATCAATAGGTTCAGAAAAAAAGTTTCTAAAGGACAAGTTTTCACAAACGAGAATTATGCTCTAGATTCAAAACTGGGAATCGATTTCAAGTCCCGTCTTTTCCTACAAGTCATTTTTGCCTAATTAGTTGTGTGGGTCAAGTTTTGTTGACATCCAACGCCGTTTGAATATTTTAGTGTGGCAACCGATTTGAAAAAAGTCTCTAAAAGACAAATTTTCACAAACGAAAATTAGGCTCCAGATTAAAAATCGGGAATCAATTTCGAGTCCCGTCTTTTCCTACAAGTCATTTGTGCCTAGTTAGTCATGAGTATCAAGTTTCAGTGACATCCTACACCGTTTGAGCATTTTAGTGTGTCAACCGGTTCAGAAAAAGAGTTTCTAAACGACAAGTTTTCACAAACGGAAATTAGGCTCCAAATTCAAAACCAGGAATTGGTTTCGAGCCCTATCTTTTCCTACAAGTCATTTGTGGCTAGTTAGTCGTGTGTGTCATGTTTCGTTGCATTCCGACATCATTCGAGCATTTTAGTGTGTCAATCGGTTCAGAAAAAGAGTTTATTAAGGAAAAGTTTTCACAAACGAAAATTAGGCTCCAAATTCAAAATCGGAAATCAATTTTGAGTCCCATCTTTTCTAAATCTTGTTTTTAGATAAGGGTAGCATCGTGTGTCGCTATGTGTGTGTTGTAGAGAGGAGGGGGGGTGGTTAAGGATAAAGGGGAGGTGTTTGTAGGTTTCAAGACCATAACTTATAAAAATGTAGAATAAGGTTATCCTACAATCCTATAGTCTCCTTAGGTAATATGTTGACCAACAAGGTAACCATACAAAATTATTGAGAGCATGTTTAGTTTACCCACCTTTAGTCTTCTTCTCTGACATGCAATCCAATTTCAGTCCCATGGACGAGTGGTTCATTCCATATATCCTCAAAAATTGCAAATGCCCATTAGCCTTATTGATAAAAGCTGAGAAGGAAAACCTGTACATTGTAACAGTAAAACACTCAGGCTTATTGATAAAATAAAATACCTGAAGCTCCAGATTTAGTTATTGTTCCCAAGTTTGATCAAATCCTCATTTGTCATACCTATACCTCTATCACGAATGGATAGGATCTTCTTTTCTTTGTTTAATTTAATCTGCATTTATCATATTATATAAAGCTTAAAAGATAAGTCAAGTTGTAAATCTTCTTTTCTTTGTTTAAATATGCAATTATTATATTAAAAGCTTAAAAAATTTTAAAAATAAATTAACTTTTGGTGTGTGTGTGTGTGTGTCTGTTTGTTTGTTGGGTTTTGGTGGAAACAAGTCATACTGTGCAATCTTTACATAAATCGATTTCAACAAACAAGTTTCACATTCTTGGTGAGGATTTAGACCATATACCATAGTAAAAGCACATAAATTACTAACCTTAATGCCAAGCTTAGTGTAACGCCCTCAAAATAATAACATTAAGCCCAACAAATAAGACATGCATTGACATATGAACTAGCCACATTCTTTTATTCATTAGAGTCTCATTACATAAGTATTACATGTTAACATCAAAACAAAATGCCCTACGGGCTTACAGCTTTCCAAGTTAACACTTGGTTACAACAAAAGAGTACTAACTCGTTTACACATTAAGCCCTTGGCTTGAAGTTACATGTAATACATCAAAAGTAAAACGACAAAACATGTCCGCCTCTAGCCTCCCAAGCTATGTCCTTGGAGGTGGCATGCTACCTGTACCTGAAAATGATATTCCCATGTAGGGTGAGCCACAGCCCAGTAGAAATACACTAAACCAACCATGGACAATGACTAAAACATTAGCAATTAATAGATGGCTAACACTGATACATTCACATAAATCATATATTTATGTCAAACGACTTACAAGTCCCAATTACTTTTTATTTCCCCTTTTTCAACAGATAGGCATATAAGCACTACCCACATGCTCAACAGATATGTATAACAACAATATCCACAGATAAGCATATAAGCTATATCCACATTCTACAACAGATATGTATAACAACAATATCCACAGATAAGCATATAAGCTATATCCACATTCTACAACAGATATGTATAACCACAATATCCACAGATAAGCATATAAGCTATATCCACATTCTACAACAGATATGTATAACCACAATATCCACAGATAAGCATATAAGCTATATCCACATTCTACAACAGATATGTATAACCACAATATCCACAGATAAGCATATAAGCTATATCCACATTCTACAACAGATATGTATAACCACAATATCCACAGATAAGCATATAAGCTATATCCACATTCTACAACAGATATGTATAACCACAATATCCACAGATAAGCATATAAGCTATATCCACATTCTACAACAGATATGTATAACCACAATATCCACAGATAAGCATATAAGCTATATCCACATTCTACAACAGATATGTATAACCACAATATCCACAGATAAGCATATAAGCTATATCCACATTCTACAACAGATATGTATAACCACAATATCCACAGATAAGCATATAAGCTATATCCACATTCTACAACAGATATGTATAACCACAATATCCACAGATAAGCATATAAGCTATATCCACATTCTACAACAGATATGTATAACCACAATATCCACAGATAAGCATATAAGCTATATCCACATTCTACAACAGATATGTATAACCACAATATCCACAGATAAGCATATAAGCTATATCCACATTCTACAACAGATATGTATAACCACAATATCCACAGATAAGCATATAAGCTATATCCACATTCTACAACAGATATGTATAACCACAATATCCACAGATAAGCATATAAGCTATATCCACATTCTACAACAGATATGTATAACCACAATATCCACAGATAAGCATATAAGCTATATCCACATTCTACAACAGATATGTATAACCACAATATCCACAGATAAGCATATAAGCTATATCCACATTCTACAACAGATATGTATAACCACAATATCCACAGATAAGCATATAAGCTATATCCACATTCTACAACAGATATGTATAACCACAATATCCACAGATAAGCATATAAGCTATATCCACATTCTACAACAGATATGTATAACCACAATATCCACAGATAAGCATATAAGCTATATCCACATTCTACAACAGATATGTATAACCACAATATCCACAGATAAGCATATAAGCTATATCCACATTCTACAACAGATATGTATAACCACAATATCCACAGATAAGCATATAAGCTATATCCACATTCTACAACAGATATGTATAACCACAATATCCACAGATAAGCATATAAGCTATATCCACATTCTACAACAGATATGTATAACCACAATATCCACAGATAAGCATATAAGCTATATCCACATTCTACAACAGATATGTATAACCACAATATCCACAGATAAGCATATAAGCTATATCCACATTCTACAACAGATATGTATAACCACAATATCCACAGATAAGCATATAAGCTATATCCACATTCTACAACAGATATGTATAACCACAATATCCACAGATAAGCATATAAGCTATATCCACATTCTACAACAGATATGTATAACCACAATATCCACAGATAAGCATATAAGCTATATCCACATTCTACAACAGATATGTATAACCACAATATCCACAGATAAGCATATAAGCTATATCCACATTCTACAACAGATATGTATAACCACAATATCCACAGATAAGCATATAAGCTATATCCACATTCTACAACAGATATGTATAACCACAATATCCACAGATAAGCATATAAGCTATATCCACATTCTACAACAGATATGTATAACCACAATATCCACAGATAAGCATATAAGCTATATCCACATTCTACAACAGATATGTATAACCACAATATCCACAGATAAGCATATAAGCTATATCCACATTCTACAACAGATATGTATAACCACAATATCCACAGATAAGCATATAAGCTATATCCACATTCTACAACAGATATGTATAACCACAATATCCACAGATAAGCATATAAGCTATATCCACATTCTACAACAGATATGTATAACCACAATATCCACAGATAAGCATATAAGCTATATCCACATTCTACAACAGATATGTATAACCACAATATCCACAGATAAGCATATAAGCTATATCCACATTCTACAACAGATATGTATAACCACAATATCCACAGATAAGCATATAAGCTATATCCACATTCTACAACAGATATGTATAACCACAATATCCACAGATAAGCATATAAGCTATATCCACATTCTACAACAGATATGTATAACCACAATATCCACAGATAAGCATATAAGCTATATCCACATTCTACAACAGATATGTATAACCACAATATCCACAGATAAGCATATAAGCTATATCCACATTCTACAACAGATATGTATAACCACAATATCCACAGATAAGCATATAAGCTATATCCACATTCTACAACAGATATGTATAACCACAATATCCACAGATAAGCATATAAGCTATATCCACATTCTACAACAGATATGTATAACCACAATATCCACAGATAAGCATATAAGCTATATCCACATTCTACAACAGATATGTATAACCACAATATCCACAGATAAGCATATAAGCTATATCCACATTCTACAACAGATATGTATAACCACAATATCCACAGATAAGCATATAAGCTATATCCACATTCTACAACAGATATGTATAACCACAATATCCACAGATAAGCATATAAGCTATATCCACATTCTACAACAGATATGTATAACCACAATATCCACAGATAAGCATATAAGCTATATCCACATTCTACAACAGATATGTATAACCACAATATCCACAGATAAGCATATAAGCTATATCCACATTCTACAACAGATATGTATAACCACAATATCCACAGATAAGCATATAAGCTATATCCACATTCTACAACAGATATGTATAACCACAATATCCACAGATAAGCATATAAGCTATATCCACATTCTACAACAGATATGTATAACCACAATATCCACAGATAAGCATATAAGCTATATCCACATTCTACAACAGATATGTATAACCACAATATCCACAGATAAGCATATAAGCTATATCCACATTCTACAACAGATATGTATAACCACAATATCCACAGATAAGCATATAAGCTATATCCACATTCTACAACAGATATGTATAACCACAATATCCACAGATAAGCATATAAGCTATATCCACATTCTACAACAGATATGTATAACCACAATATCCACAGATAAGCATATAAGCTATATCCACATTCTACAACAGATATGTATAACCACAATATCCACAGATAAGCATATAAGCTATATCCACATTCTACAACAGATATGTATAACCACAATATCCACAGATAAGCATATAAGCTATATCCACATTCTACAACAGATATGTATAACCACAATATCCACAGATAAGCATATAAGCTATATCCACATTCTACAACAGATATGTATAACCACAATATCCACAGATAAGCATATAAGCTATATCCACATTCTACAACAGATATGTATAACCACAATATCCACAGATAAGCATATAAGCTATATCCACATTCTACAACAGATATGTATAACCACAATATCCACAGATAAGCATATAAGCTATATCCACACATCACAAAGATAAGCATATAAGCTCTATCTTCACTTCCA